AAAATACCGGCAACTTTTCCTGCCAATTATTAAAAAACACACGATCATGTTTGGTGGCAGTGAGGCCTAAAGCTAAACCACTACTATTTACAGCTATTGTGATGTTCATGTGAGGATAACAATGTCTTATTCAAATGTGGGTGTAGCATTCTTCAAGTGGTGATGTGTTGGAAAGGGAGGATATTGCACAACAGTTAAAAGCTAAAGTGTTCCATCATCGAGTGTGTTGAAACATCCACTGTTGAAAATGTCATCTTTCAATGCAAAAAACAGCAACAGTTGTTCAACTGTATTTAAAGGGAATATAAAGTGACTTTTCAATGATAATAAAGTAAATGTGTCCTCTTTTGAACAGCTATGACGTGTTTTTTTTTTTGCTCTTTTCTGCTGAGTGGGAAGAACACACCCCACCTTGAATTGTCATGGATCATCTACAAATCCCACCATGCCTCTTTCTTTATCCTCTCTGTCTGGGGTTTGCTTGTTTCAGACAGATAAGTTTCGTATTGTGCAGTGAAACACAGTTTATCGGCTTGGTAAATTCCACTGCAAACAAGTAGTCGACTTATCTATCATGTCTGGTGTAACCTACTTCGTCACTCCCATTTTTAACTTCTTCATTTTCTGCCGAATGTTTTCGACTTCGGGTTAAAACGAGGTTTGCTAAGGATTATCGGTATCTCGCCTCGCAGCCAGGTCTCTGGGCTGTTGAAGCATGACCCGAGGTGGTGTGAGGAGGTTAGTTGCTGATTAATTTCTATGCAACCTTGAACCCCTCTCTGGGCCAGTGGACCCAGCAGACTATTGACAGAGCAGTGTGCTAAAGATAAAGCTAACATTTCTGTGCTACGTGCAGTGTGACATGTTTTCCCCTTTTTCTTTTTTCGCTGCTCTCAGCAGTATCGTTTCAGTATAAATTGGTTGAATGTATTTCAGGATCGGAGGACTTTTGTGTCAATCAATGAGTGAACAGAGGAATGGACGTTGACATTAAGGGCTACCACATAATAGTATGGGCAGTCTGCTATCATGAGGAATCCCTTCACCTTTCTATTGTATCATGGCAATAGAAAACCACAATGTCATATAATCCTTTTTTATATTCAGAAACAGAGGTTTATGTCACCGCATAACGGCACTGATCAAACCAATGAAGCCATACTCTGCTTCGTGGAATCACTAAATAATATTGTATTGTGACGGTGATCTGAGACATTATTAAAATGTCTTCAGCCTCACTGGTGAAGACTAGATATATAAAATGCACTCCATGTACAAAAACGAACATCACGTTCATTTAGCTTGTTGATGTCTCTTTCAATTTTTGGCATATTGGTCTGAATTAAAAGATTGCAAATTTGCCTTCATGTCGAGCCATATTTATCTGCAATATGTTCTAATTGAAACACATCAGTGCAGTCTGACTAGGAGTGTGTGAATATGTAACACCCCTGTCTGCACCTTCTTCAAAAAGGACAGAAAAAAGAAGTTACAAATGTAATTGTTTAGACAAAGTATAAATCTGTTTAATTCAATAAAATATCAAGTACATTTAAAGCATTTAACCATTTAATATTAAATAATTTGACTTATTTCATTCATTGCCAATACTATTACAAAGAGTTGCATCATTTCACTGCAGCACAACTCTTCCCTTAACAACCATTGCTCCAGATACACACAATGTAGAAATTCACTCGCACGTATGTAAAATATGCACCGAAATACTGCATACACAAAATTACATCTGAGAATAAAAGCTACGGTGACATGTGAAGAATCGTGATTGATTGCGCAATCCATGCACCCACACCTTCAGTCCCATTAAAACTGTCTCTGTAAACTGGTGGTCGCTGTCTTCACCCGTGAAGCGTACCGATTTTTTTTCCAACACTCAGTGGATCACCTCCAGCTCTAAAGTCCATCGATGATTTAGACAAGCAGCCAAGTGGTGCGCGTGGAGTCTCTCAGGCTGAGGTCTCTCTAACATTGTCCGGTGGCAGAGAGCAGGTTGCGCAGGGTGGACAGCTCTCTGGACAGCTGCTCCACACGCTTTTGTAAACGATCGTTCTCTGCGGCCAGTTCCAGCACTTTGTGTTGCGTCTCCATGTTGCGCACTTTGGCTTTGTCCCTGCTCTTCCTCACGGCGAGGTTGTTCCTCTCGCGCCTCACCCTGTACTCGTCGCTGTCCTTGTCCAGGCGTTTCTTCGCTTTCCCGGAGGACATTTTGCCACTGTGCGACGGTGACCTGCTTTTACCTGAAGGGGCAGGTGTGCCGGGCGGGCTGGAGCAGGTCGAGGACGCACTGGAGATGTTCCCAAGACTGCCGCTGGTGGACTGGTAATGAATGTAGAAACCAGGCGAGCCGTTCTCCATGTTTGCGTCTCTCTGGCTGTCGTCTCTCTCCGCGGCAGCAGCTCTGTAGCGGCTCCCGGTGAGTTCAGGGCTGAGCACGCTGTCCACACGGGTCTCCTGCAGCTCGGTGTAACCCAGCGCGTAGGGCTCCCTGGGGTCCCTCAGGTTGTCGCACTGGCTGCTCTCCAGCTCGGTCAACAGCGAATAGTTCTTGTAGTTCTGTAGAGCCGCAACTCTTTTGAGCTTGTTCTCCGCCAGGAAATCTGAGAAAACGTCCCCTTGCTGCTGCTGTTGCGGCTGTTGCTGCTGCTGCTGCTGCTGGTGGTGGTGGTGGTGCGTCTGCGCCGCCAGTTGCGGACAGTGCAAAGCTGAATCCAGGTAAACGCTGAAGTCTATCGCTCTCTCCCGCTCTTCGATGCCCAGCTCCGTCATCGAGTCACCGACCCTCCAATACGAGCCGCTGCTGATAGGACTGATAATGCTGTCTCTACTGTGGATAGCAAAGCCGCCCTCGTCGTAGAAGCCGGCCACTTCCATGGATCTTAACACCCGCCGGATTGAAGGAGCATGGAGGGCTGAGATGAGACGCCCAGGTTGTTTTGGATTCAGTTGCCTCCGTTGCGAAATGGCTGAAGTGTCTGAATGCAACGAGTTTTAAATCTCCCGTGTCACCGCCAGTGACAACACGCAGTGAAACTACTTTGAAGGAGCTGCGCTCATGAATTGGGAAGGATTGACAAGTCTTCCTGTCTCGGGGGGGTTTTATTAGACGCGCGGGGCGGGGCTTTAGTTGGGCAGGTGTGTGACGCGCAGCGCAGAGCCAACCGGACAACATGTGGTGGTTTTGGAGGATCTTTCTTGTATGTAACCGTTTGTGTTGATCTGTTTGGTTGCTTTATTTTTGTGGCATTTGTGACACATAGTTGTGGTGTAGACTTGGAGTGCAGCAGCAGAATGTAACTTAATTAGTTTTCATAACGAAACTGAGACAACACAAATACAAAGTGAAAATACAAACCAACGCCTGCATTTTACGGTCACAACAGAATATTACTTTGTTCACATCTCACCCACTCGACAATAACGGAAAAAAATCCGACTCAGTGGCAACCGAGTGCATGCGTAATCACGCCATAACAACGATGCTCATGGAAGCAGCCCGAGACACATCTCCAGACAGCCGTTTCCCCACAACACAAACAGAAACTAGTTCAAACCAGTTTGTTGTTGTGTGGTCAAACTGTACAAGATGACACATCCACTCCAACACTGTATGAGGGTCAGGGTGGGTGTTCGGCATTTAATCTGCCTGGTTTATGACTAAAACTCTGGAAGGTGTTTTCATGAAGGTCCAAAAAAGCTTTTCCATAAATGTCTCATTGAGCATCACGACATTTAACAATAAGGAGCTCACAAACAGGTATTAAGAACCGGACACAGTGACTTGGCTCAGGTGCCAAAACAGGTCTTGGTATCACACACATGCTCAGTTGGTCTAATGAGCCTCGATGCGCACAGGCTGCTCATACCTTGACTATCAAATGTGTAGTCAGAGCTGAGTGAAGACGTTTTATTATAAGGCCTTACTGCCACCTTGTGGTGAGCTTTAAGAATGTACACAAGCTACATTCCATCAATAGAGATAATATAAATGTTTAGGACATGTGTATCTCTACGTAAACTGTTTCACTGGTGCGCAGCCAAAAGCCACTTATGTCTTAAAAACATTTTTCAGAATGATAAGACCACATTTTACCAAGTGGACCCTCAACATGTGCATGCACCGGTGTTACCGTTTATTCTGTGACTCATTAGAGTTAAGATCAACATGGAAAGCCTGGAGCAAAAAAAATGCTGTTGGAGTAGAAATAACACGTAGCATTTCGTTACTTGCCAGCACTGGTCAATACCAGTCTGTGGTCAATACTGAAAGCTGTATCTCCTGCACTCTCCCCCAACAATACATTTGATAGTATAAGGTTGAAGTTTGTATGCAAAATATGAATCTGCAAAGTAACCAGTAACTCCAGCTGTCAAACACATGTGGTGGAGTTAAAAGTGTAATGTTTCCCTCCGAAAAGTAGTGGAGTAGAACAGCAGAACAGCAACTAACTATGGCAACACGTGTCCGTTACTCGAGTTATCCAACATTAGCCAACATACCAGACTAGGTGAGGCTGGAGCAGCAAAAACCCTGACTGTGGTGAATTTGGCGTTTTAATGCTTATAAATGTAACTTTTAATTTGAATTTAAGTAGAAAGTCTCGATAATTCGTCCACTATTTCTTAGCCGTTAACGCCTCACCTGTCGATACGTTGTCAAACTGTCGGCCTTCTCCATAACTTGGTTGAAGCTGTAGCATCACAGAATGTGACGGGTGACAGATGTCGCTGTAACGCCTCCTGTTGGGTTGTTTGATAACGTGTATAATGTTACAGAGAGAGAGAGAGCTCCATCTACTGTACATCCAGCAGAGCACTGAGAGCAGAGCGGCCACCAGACAGGACGGGTGGAGTCAGGAAATGCGGTCTTTGCCCTCGTAAACACCCCATTGGTCAATCGACCGTCTCTGGAACATTTTCCTTTACGGTGATTGGCTGCCGCGCTCAACGACTTTCACCCGATTGGTTGAAAACGTTACGCTGTCTGTGGGCCGAGAACTAGATGATTCCGTTGGTTACTGACTGCGAGTACACAGAGCGAGAGATTGAAGGGGCTGGGCCCACAGTGGAGAAATGGCGAGAATGGTGAACGCGAGCGGGTGTGGAGTGGAAACACAGAGCACGGAGCCGGAGGCACCGGGCCGGGGTTCGGCCAGATGGGGTCCACAACACGCCGGTGCCCAAGAACTGGCCACTTTGTACTCACCAGGTGAGTCGATCAGCGGCTGCTCCGTCTCGTGGACTTGTCCCCCCCCCGGTTCAAGTGCGACAGGCTTTAACACAGCGTAGTTATTACCAAGTAACGTTGGCACACTGAGAAAACAACTTATAAAATCACTCCAAGAGGAGCCTATTTACCTTTAACTGCTAACATTAAAGGACACGGAACAATGAGCGACAGCTCTACGTCCGCCACGGTCCCACTTCTGTCGTTACTCAACAGGAATCATGTGAGATTGAGGTTGAATCTGTTTGAGTCGCTGTTGTCCTTTGACATTTGGAGCGTCAGGAGGGTGAGAAGAATCCTGTAAGTCTCCTTTAGGCTCTGAAGCCTCGTTTGTCCGCGGAGCTGCTGTGTGACCTTTCATAACAGCGATGCATAACCATAAACTAATCACATAGTTTTCAGATCTTAGCCAGTCCACTGTGTTAGGGTGACTTTATTTGTACCCCAATTTGGTCACGCACACTATTTAAACTCTATGCATGAAGTGAAAGGCCTCCACGCCCGGTGTACAAATACTTGATACCTTTGAGCTGCTCCTATCACAGTTGAGGAGCTTATCCCACAGCTATGATTATGGTGAGCAGACTTTTTTTTTTTTTTTTAGCCACTAAGACTTTAGCCTCCTTGTGGTTGTAATATGTGGACAGGTATTTCAGGTCATGTAAACAAGCAAAGTGCAGAGGAATGTTTCCTCGCTGATGTAAGGAAGCATCTGATAGTTCAATCGTGTCGCCTAGTTTACTAATCTTTGGATCGTACTACGTCACATCATGTTCAGGTGATACGGAGTGCAAGACAAAATGTGACTGATAATTCTATCAGGAACTTTGTGTTTAAAAGAACTTCTGCTCATGTGTTGAATCTTACTAATACATCCGCTCGTGTTTTTCTTTAAGGAAAAAGATGTCAAGAATGGCTTTGTGTCGCCCTCTGCTTCTCTCTCATGGCCTTCAACTTCATTCACCTTCTTGCCAATTTCCACCTGGGACATCTGTGGTACATCCTGTTGAGCATTGGTAAGTGCTGACTGAAACATTATCTAAGGATCTGTTGTTGTGTTGACGCTGGTTGATGAGTTCCGTTGTTGTTGTTTTTAGAGCTGAAGTCCAAACAAAGTGTTTGTTCTCTCTTTAGTCCAGTTGAATGTTTTTCTCATCCTGTTTCCGTGCTCCTTTCCTCCTCAAACTCCTTTTCAGTGGCAGGAATACTCACTGCAGACTTTGCATCAGGACTTGTTCACTGGGGGGCTGATACGTGGGGATCAGTGGATTTACCCGTCTTTGGAAAGGTAACATATCCTTTGTTTATACTGTAAATAATCCTTTTTTTCCCAAAAAGGACATTTCCTGCATTCACAGTGCGTATTTCATGTTTTTCAGGCCTTTATACGACCATTTCGAGAGCACCACATCGACCCCACGGCCATTACCCGTCACGACTTCATTGAGACCAATGGTGACAACTGCATGCTGACCATAGTCCCGCTAGCAAACATGGCCTTCAGCTTCCTCACCCTCTCCCCCGGTGAGTTTAGGACCAACAAACCGGATCTGACATTTTCTTCTGTCTTGATTTTCTAAACCATTCCTTGATTGCAATATTCATGCAATTTCAACGACCATACACCGAACAAATGAGTTGTTTATGTCTCCTTTTTGCAGCGGAGATTCACCATTTCTACCCCTGGTACTGCTACTTGTTCGCATTAGCCATCTTTGTGACCCTAACCAACCAGATTCACAAGTGGTCACACACGTACTTCGGCCTGCCTCAATGGGTTGTGTTCCTACAGGACTGCCACATCATCCTCCCCCGCAAGCACCACCGCGTCCATCACGTCTCCCCTCACGAGACGTACTTCTGCATCACCACAGGTTCGTCTTTGTTATAGTTATACGGGCTCAAATCGGCCTGTAGATAATGTTCCGAAGTTGGACGGGGGGGTGAGAGTCGGGCAGGTTTGTCATTGAGCTTTGTCTCTCCAGGTTGGCTGAACTACCCTCTGGAAAAGCTGGGTTTCTGGAAGAACCTGGAGGATCTTATCCAGGGTGTGACGGGAGAGAAGCCCAGGTCGGACGACCTGAATTGGGCTCAAAAAGTCAATTAATGCCGCAGGCTACCTGCACCCTACCTCAGAAGGCCCTGGCTCCGTCCAGGCTTCTCATCCCCCCCCCCCCCTTTTTTTTTTTGGCCTCACACGAACTGTAATCTATAGAAAGAAAAACTAACAAACACTTTCTGATGCCATAGCTTTAAGTCTTGCACATTTTGTCTGTTTTTCAAGAAGAGGCCTCTGTTGATGGAATTTTTTCATTTCTCACAAAACGCAATATATCCTAAACTCTTTGTACGTCTAAAACAACTCATCACTTTTTTTTTTGAGGTGATTTTGCAAATGCGTTTGCTAAGAAGGTTTATTCAGATACTTTACGGTCTGACACAGATTACTTGTAAATCGGTTCCGAGGAGATTAAAAGATTTCCCTTATGTCAGAAAATTTGAAACAATCCCAAAAAAGAATACTTGAAAGAATGAACGCTCATTTTTTTTCTCCTCCAGAGAGACAACTGATGAGTCTCGTTGTATTCAGCACTGCTTTTTATTGTCTCCGGATAAGTCTTTGCATCTCATCAAGGGTCGACTTGATGAGCAAGTAATACAATTGGATTTAGGCCATGGCAAGTAGTAGCGCAGGATTCCTGGATGCTTTACCAATGTTGTTGGCTGAAGAACAAAATGGTTAATTACTGTTACATTTGTTGATTTCTTTCGGGGCTGTTTTGTTGAAGAGAGGCGATGACAATATTTGATAGTTTAGTCGTGGATTTGTCAATTTGAGACTACAGATGCAATGGAAGAGTCGATGCTAATCTAAAGCCAAAATCATCCCTCCAGGATGCTAAATGACGGATCTGACAGCTCAGAGAACGGGTTTTAATTTACACAAACCAAAATATAAACAACCAAATTGCTCCTATTGCTGTCAGATCCTAAGCTGTTATGCTGATTGAAATTTGTTATTTTATCTTATCTGGCCATTGGAACAGTTTGCATTTATGTCTTCGATGATGGAGGAAACATTTTTACATCATAATTTGATCTGAAAAAGTGGAAATGTGTGTAACTGTCGTCAGCATTGATGCTGGGCCGTTAGAAATTTGGGCAAATACACATGTATCATGCTGTCGTTCTGCTGAGTCAGCCTGACTAGTCTCTTCGATGGTCATGCGTCCTCTGAAAAGCCTTTTTAGTTTTACTTTGACTCCTGGTAAACACACAGGTTTGCAGGAAAGAGGCAGACACAGTTTTGTCAAGCTGCCTTACGCACCACAGAAGCAGAACTTGTGTCCTTTCTGTCGTTGTGGTGTTTCATTCACTGCACTTCTTTGTGTTGTCGCAACTGTAATTCTGTCTTTCTGGGATTTGTGTCTTCTTTAGTCAGACGCAGATACTCCAAAGTTATGTGCCAACAGTGTGTAACATGTTTTCATTTCTTCACTACGAGAGATTATGTTGTTAATTGATTCGTCGGAAGATTTTCTTTTTTTAAAAATGCTTAAGTCAGTGATTTGTAAATGTGTTGTGCAGCGAATAACTATGCAGTGTAATACGAGGCCGTTAACCATATGTCTTAACTCATCTGCTTAGATTCAAATGCCTTTCTCTTTCTACGAGTTAACACATAGTTGCCATTTTAGTTGGAAAACGGGAGCTTAAAAAAATGTGCTACTTAAACAGCATGTGTAAAATGACATGTAACAGCAGCTAAGAATGCGTGCATGCATACGACATGTGATATACTGGGTCACCAGCTTAAATCTAAAGGAGCTAACCTTTCTGCTGGTTGGGTCGACCAGATGAAAAAGCTGAATTAGTGAGCTTGATATTGTAGTCGATGAGTATAGTTCATTTTGAAGCCAAAATTATGCTTTATATGATGTAATATTCCAGTTTTTGAATCCCTCATACTTGATTATATAGAATTGTTCGCCATAGGTCAACAACAAAAATAGACTGCAGATTAACGAGTGCTGGTAGAGTATTGTGAGAAACAGTTGTGCGTGTGCTAGGTAGCGTAATGCTAGTAAAGGGATGCCGTTACCCGTCACAGCATCAAAGGTTAAGGCTCGTGTAGAAGTTTTACTTTCACAGTTTTTTTTTTGTTTTTTTTGTTTTTTTTTCATCAGTATGAGACAAAATATAATTTGGGAATGTAGACTCATTAGCATCAACGTTGACAGACAACTTGTTTTATGAATAGGAGTTTTGCCGTTGGCTGTGAAGGATGTTTTGGAACTTCAGCAAATTGCTTTTTGTGATAATATAAAAGTAATAACTTTTCATGTTTTTAATACAATATTAAAGGATAATGGTTAGTGCCATAATTACTTTGGAGATTGACTGAACTGACAACCTCTTGTGAATATATTTGGTGAGCTCAGAAGGAAGCCACCGCATAACAATGTTAACTTGGATACAGACTCGCCATAATCGCTTCTTGTCGTAGTTGGGAGTCTGGTTGTGCGTATAGATCTAACGTGCATTAACTTATTCTTCATTCTTATTCTCCAGATGATCTCAGGATTGTGGTTAAGTAGGTTATTATGAAATTGTGAAAAAACAACAACAAGTTAGGCCTTTAAATAGATAAAAGTTGTTTAAGTATTTTCGTTCGTCTGTTGGCCAAAGTAGCTGAATGATTTAAATGGGTTAAAGGTTCTATTGTAACCATATATCAGCAGTTAACTCGGCCTCTTGTTATCATGGAAGAATTAGTGATAAAGCTGTGTTTGGTTTTTCTGTTTCAGAGACAGGCGTCAGTGGATTTGAAGGGTATTTTGTGACGATGTCTGGTTAACTTAAATATTTTCTCAATTGGAAATTGTGGAAGCAAATGAAGTCGTTGGTAAATGGGGTGGGCAGTACGTTCAACACGCTGTGTTTTAATTCACTTCTGTAATGATCCCTGGACTTCTTATTGAATTACCTCATCCTCTCCCTGATGGATTCACTGGAGTTCTTGGCAGTGAAATAGTAAAACAATTTATTGACCGACTTTAATTTGCCCTTCACTTGATTCCAACTTCTGAGGTGAGACCCATATCTTATGGATGTTGTTGTTTGTTATGTATGCTGGTGGTGATGGAGTTTTCGATATCAGAATAATGCCTTGATGCCTTTTTGTTGTCTTCCATTCGGGAGACTTACAATGTATATATTAAACTGTATTTATAAATAATCTAAATAAAAGGTTGATAATTACTACTACCTGTTTTCTCTCGTTAATTTCTTTCTGTAGCTTTATATTCTCTCTGGATTACTGTTTCATGGATTACATTTTTTTGTAATCATTACAACTCAACTCCTTACAACTGACTTGCAGGACATAATGTGCAATATAAGGGTATTATTATTATCGTGAATATTCTGTATTAACCATGCTTAACTTTTTTTCAAATCTGTACTGTACATAGAAATCTATAAGCAACCCCACCTATACCGGTACTAACTGTTGATTTTGGCCTTGTATATATTTTGGATTTCCACCTCATTGTTATCTTAGACTTTTATTTGCACTCCTCCCACTTAAGGAAGACAAATGCACAGTTGCAAGTAATACAACAGATTAACAGAGTATTGTAAATGTTATTGGATGCTCTTTCCCCACTATGACAAGTTAAAATGTCTGCTATGAACAGGGCCTATACATTATTAATAAATGTACTGCCTATTGGGAAGGCCTTCTTCTTTCAGGCCTATTTAATCCAGCCATGTTCTCCCTGCTTTTCATTTGTTTTGATTTATTAATCTATGTAGCCTACGAATAGTTTGTGTATTTCAAATTAAATATTAATTCCCGTCTTCACATACTTTATGTTTTAGGACAATAATTAACACTTTAGTCTCTGCATAGCATTCAATTCCCTTTCAATTGATTTTCTAACTCGCCACAGGGACAACAAAGGAAGCGCTGCTCTGCGTTTGTTCCACGCGCACGCACATTGGCCACAAGCAAAGCGACGTGCGCGCCTCCGCTGTGTGTAGCGACAAGATGGCGGTCGCCGCCGGATCAGGTAAACGAACGAGAGAAATGCATCACAATCATAAACCGAATAATCGGCCGAATTAAATATCCAGATGTAGCTATCGAGTTTCGTAATGAGGTTGAATATCTACTGCCGCGCGAGCCGTGTGAAAATGTGCAAGCTAACGCAACGTTGGAGCTCCCGGAAGCTTCTGAAGGCAATGAATAGGAAGCGATGCTACGAGCTAAGCTAACGTAACTTAAGTTAGAATGGCAACGAGATGCATTGTTACTGCAAACCAAGAAAACACGACGTGTGTCGAGTTTCATCGGAAGGGCTCGTGAGAGGCTGGTGATCTCGAGCTTTAATTGCTGCACCATCTGGTTAGCGGGACTGTGTTTGTTTGCACGGCTCAGTTAACGGTTCGTAATCTCACCGCAGAGGCCAAATGATGCAGCAGTCGTCGAAGCCAGATGCCAAATTTTGGCACAACGACTAACGTCTGCTAGTATCAAGAAGGTGGATGAAAGAAGGCCCGTCAAACTAAAGCGTTCCTCATTCTCCTCTCACGTCGTTATGAGTCTGAATGAGTCACGAACCCATAAACTCATAACTGCAAGTCATCGCTCTCGGCAGACGCTCTTGTAAATGTACATTTTTTGTTCTGTTTGGTACCTAAATTAACTTGTTTTGAAGTCTGATGTTCGGTGTCTTTTGTCCACAAACAGTTGTTAAAGTCCCTCGCAATTTTCGGCTCCTGGAAGAGCTGGAGGAAGGCCAGAAAGGTGTGGGAGATGGGACGGTGAGCTGGGGTTTGGAGGATGACGACGACATGACGCTGACACATTGGAGAGGGGTGATCCTGGGCCCCCAAAGGGTGAGTGCTGGTTTTAAACACCTGCACGAGGACTGTGCAATACGCATTTTAACAGATTGTCATGGTAGAGTACCATTCAGGAGGAGAGAGGGTAATGAATAATGCTATATATAAAGCGAACATATTTACTGTTTTTGTTAACTGTCACAACCAGGATTTAGGCTAGGGTGTGTGTGTGTGTGTGTGTGTGTGTGTGTGTGTGTGTGTGTGTGTGTTTTTTATAACTCACCTCTACCTGTCTCTGTCCACAGACCAGCTTTGAAAACAGGATGTACAATCTGAAAGTTGTATGTGGGCCAGAATACCCAGAGTCACCACCGTTTGTCAAATTTGTGACAAAGATAAACTTGAATGGCGTGCACACCTCCAGCGGGGAGGTACGGAAATCTTCTAAACCAGCTGTTCTTATTCTGGCTTGATTACTCAACTTTGGGTGCCTCAGCGTTCTTTTGAAAGAGATTATGCTCTTGATGCTGTTCTTGTTACAGTGACGAATACATTGGGAGAAAGAACACAATTTAACTTAAACTGTAGTATGTCAATTACTTTTGATTTAGGCCCCGACCCTTTATTGTTCTCCATTTTCCCACTTTATGTCAAAATGTGCTTAAACTAACCACAGATCGAGGACAATCAAACTCCCCTGCGATGAAATGCTATGAAATAACATAAACATCTAACATTTTGGTAATTGAGAAAGGTAATAGTTAAGCATGTGTCCGCCCGTCCTTACTTGTTTCTCCGTGCTGCAGGTTGACGTGAATGCGGTGACGGCACTGGCCAAGTGGCAGAACTCCTACAGCATCCGGATGGTGCTGCTGGAGCTGCGACGGCTCATGACCTGCAAGGAAAACACGAAGCTTCCTCAGCCACCTGAGGGCCAGATCTACAACAACTGAGCCCCTGCTACTTTTGCCTCCATTGCCCCCCCCCCGACTTTTTATTTTGCTTTCATCCCTTTATCCCCATCCTCTCCGCCATGTGACGTCACACCTCATGCCAACACCTTGACTGAACAAACACACACACACAAACAGTTGAAGACGTATACAATGACACACGCATGCAAACAGACACTCGCATATCTGTTCACACAGCAGAAGACTGAAGTCCACAGTATTGGATACATGCGTACGCACATACACATTTATCTGTATACACACACACATCAAAAGACTTATACAATAACAGGTACAGGCAAATACACACATATATGTAAACACACACTTGTTGAGCGTTCATGAAAATCATTCCAGCTCCCCCCCCCCCCCTCACTGGAGCTTTGGGTGGGCTCGATGTGATGAGGCAGGCGGAGTCCTCAGTCCACACCAGATGTGATCATTTGAATACTGTACATGTTATTAATCTTTTTGTTTTTATTATTTGTTAAAAATGCAGATTGTACAATAACATAAATAACCTTATTGAGTGTACCTCTTTTGTGTGTTTTACTTTCTCCACTTCCTTCATAAATCTTAATTCATGCATTCGTGTTGTTGTAGTTCACTACGCGTTTGTCATGAAAGTTTATATGAAGCATTTTTACATAACGACTTGTCTTATATACAGTGTTCATTCATATAACAGCACTTAGAAACCACGTTTATTCACTTCTCTAAAGTTAAATGACAAGATGTATATGAAGCTAGCTTGGCTTCATATACATCTTCATATAAGTTTGAGTTTTTCTCATAACTCTTACTGTCAAAACACCATTTCTGTTTTATGGTAAAACATTTTAATTTGTGACATTTTAGTCAGGTTTACTCTGGTAGAATAAGTACTCCGATATTAATTTAAGTAAAAGTATATAAAAAAAAATACTTTGCTACAAGTAAAAGTCCTGCATTTAAAGTCTTACATAAGTTAAAATATTACAATTATATTAGTGTGAACATGTACTTAAAATAGCAAAAGTAAAATTAAAGAATGGCCCCTAAAGACTTTTATTTTGAAAGTTTTTACTATTTCCAAAGAAACAGATTTTATGTTCGAAGACAAGTTGCCCTCATAATAGTTTTAGGATGCCTAAATGGTCGTGGTGGAGTAGCTGTTTTTCCCGTGACAGATGCTAAATGGCATCAGACAAACTAAATTAAAAAAGCCAAAATATAATGTCAAATACACATAATATACAATACATATATATCTTTGTGTATTTTACATTTGGAATGATTGTATTGCCTCATGCCTGCCCACTGTAAATAACTTTGTAATCAGATTTTGCTTTATACGTGTTGTATAAATAATCTTTATTAGAAGTATAATATTGCAGTGCTAAATGTCACTGGGGTTGTGCTGAAATTATACAATGAGCACCCTCCAGTAGATAAGTCTTATTTGCGTTGTAAAAGTCCACAGGCTAGAAAACTAGTTTGTTGGTTTCAGTTAAATACGCATGTGGAAAAATAGCAAATGTGTGTGTTGTGGAAACCGCTGTAGCCTGAAGCAAAGTTAAAGTGAAGAGCACAAGTGAGAACATGTGAGGCAAGGAACAATAGACAATAACAACTGTCTGCCAGATAATGAGCACAAAGAACACCACATGATGCAAACACTGACAATAACGTTGCATTTCATGATATGTTCACACGTCGCGGGTGTAACTGATAACATTTAAAACGACTGCGTTCCATTTAGGTGAGCCTGTTATGGATTCATGTTTATGCTGGTTTACTGGGACACGCACTGGGATACAGAGGCATTGTTAATGTTACTTATTACATCTGTGCTCAAGTCACATTAATAGGTATATAAATATAAATGAACAGTGCCTGAAATGAGCCGGTACCATAGGCTCAACAGTACTGTTGGTACTTCTGATTATTGTCACATGAGTACACTTACTTCTTTTTGGTACTATAGCTTAATGCTAAGACAATTCCTTCTATTGTATTGTAGCATATATGCAATATTATAGTAATATACAATTAGATCTGTATTGATAGCTACATAAAAAGTTAATATTAACCCAATTAACCCTGTTTCCTGTGAAATGTCTCCACAACTACTGGATGGATTGCCATGAGATTGGGTACACACTTTCATGTTCCCCCAGGATGACCTGTAAACATTTTGGTGAACTCTGAACTTTTCATCAAGTCAAAATCCGAATATGTCCAGCACTTTGTTTTATGACCAAATACCTGCAAAACTAATGACGTTCCTATCAGCGTCAGCAGGCTAAAGTAACGTGGTTAAAATGGTCAACATTAACATGATAGCATTATCATAGTGAGCATGCTGAGCCACTAGAATCAATACAAACACTTTTGTCAGTTGAACTTGACTGACTCACTGAAACTCAACAGGAGGCAGATGGTGAGGGCTTTCACATGATGACAGTGGCCTCTTTTGATCACTGAGTAGGAGTGAACCTCCTTGACATCTCAGTGCCAGATCCAGCTGGGGCCAGTAGGGGGCATAGCAGGCTTGGCCAGTCAAAAACAACTGTAGTCCAGCACATTGTATTTTCCTTCTGGGGGAGGCAGATGTGTGCCAGATAAAATGTCAAGGGAACCTTGGAGTGTTTCAGCCCTGACTTGACCTAATTAAGAGGTGGGTGCAGTAAAGAAAACTCGGCGGAGAGATACACTGCTCTCTCTTAGACCGTGGAGCCGATCAACAGCGGAGTGGACTCTGACCTACCCAGAAGCCTCTATAAGATGACAGCAGGTTGTTTTCAACGCTTCTAGGGACTGGAGGAACTTGTAAGTACATTTCCATGTCGAGAAGGCAGATTATTTGCTCGTGGGATCAGCAGTGAGAGTTTGGTAAACACTGTATTTTATGTTCTCCTAAAGCATGAGAATGACCACACTTTCTTTCCATTATCTCAAGTGATTACATTATTAAAAAGACATAATACTGTTCATGTTAGGTGCCTTTGAGACAGTTTCTTGAACCAACATGGAAAACATTTTCTGTATTGTTTTTGCACATCATCATGGGATCAGTGTGGAAGCTACAAGTGAGCCAAGAGGCAGAGCGCGGAAGCCTGTATGGTTAATCGGATTCCTCCACAACGTGGGAAAAGGGGATGTGAAAATTGTATCAGCTGCTTCCTACATGTGGGACGCTCTGTGGGTGTGAACTAAAAATGATATCGCTGTTAGTTTCTGTCAGGAGAGACTTGATTTCCCACTGGTTTTATCTACGAAGAAAGAAACTCGTCCTTGACTTGCTTTGTTCCATTAATGCACACGAGTTGTTAGGGTTTACTGATAAGGACTTAATAACTCTAGCTGGCCTCAACTGACATTTGCTCTCATGAATTATCAAGGATTTACTGCCTCTGCCAACAAGCAAGGATTTTGAGACACTTTTATGCTACCTTAGACCTTACTAGAGGGAAATATTGTATTGTTTTACTACAAAACTATATTCGTTTGACATTTGTTGACATTTAATTTGTTCTTAGTTGTTCTGGCCCACCTCAGTAGGCATTTGGTTGACGGTGGAGGGCTGTCAGCTGATTAACCGGAGCCCTTGGGCTATATAAGCTGGCCTATGTGGTTCCTCCTGCCTCTCCCCTCCTACAGCTGACATGCACCCTGCATCACTTTCTTTTGCACCTTCAACACCTCCACAGCCCACATGCTGTCATGGCTAGACATTCTGGTTTCCACACCCCATTGCTCATTTGTGGTAACTTTAGTTTAAATAAATTACAATTATTTTACGATAGTTTGAGTTTTTTTTTTTTTTAATGCTCCTGACTTCTTCTTGTTCTTCAAGCTTTCTTCTCACTGATCCGGCTGCACCATGGCTCTGCTCGTCCACGTGCTGGCCTGTGCCTTTGGCCTTGGCTCTTGGGTGGCGGTGAATGGTCTGTGGGTGGAGCTGCCGCTCATCGTCAACACTCTCCCGGAGGGCTGGGAGCTCCCCTCCTACCTGACAGTCATCATCCAGCTAGCCAACCTGGGACCTCTGCTGGTCACTCTCATGCACAAACTGTGTCCGGGTCGCCTTAAAGAGCGTGTTGTCATCTACTGCATCCTCTCCATCGGCGTGCTCTCCTGCGTCTTGCTCGCCTTCTTCTGGGACAAGACTACGATAGTGGCCGGGGCATCGCGTAGCACCGCCTTCTTCATCATCACCTTCTTCCTCTCTCTGGTGGACTGCACCTCCTCAGTTACCTTCCTGCCTTTTATGATGCAGCTTCCAGCAAAATACATTACCACATACTTCATCGGAGAGGGGCTAAGTGGATTCATTCCTGGCGTAGTCGCTCTGGCACAAAGTGTTGGCATCGCCAAATGTGTTAACTCATCTCAGACTGCAGGAAACCACACGAATGCGAGCTTGTGGTCATCACATACGGAGTATCTTCCTCCCAACTTTTCCACCGAGGTGTTTTTCGTCCTCCTAGCAGTCATGATGTGCATAAGCCTGGCTGCTTTTGCTGCACTGAACAGGCTTTCTCGGACATTCAAGTTGTCTACCGAAAACCTCGTGCGAGACACCGTGGCATCTGTCTGCTCCGGTCTGGAGAACCCCGGAGCAGAGACCGATGGAGAGGGCGTTAAGCGCCAAGGTGAGGGGGCAGCCCCGAGCAAATCTCTGTTGGCTGGCCCGAAACACTCTGTGTACCAGATGACCTTCATCTACTTCATGGTGGTGTGGCTCAACTGTGCAACCAACGGCCTGCTGCCCTCCGTGCAGACGTACTCCTGTATGTCCTATGGGAGCCTGGCCTATCACCTCTCTGCTGCTCTGGCATCAGTGGCCAACCCAGTGGCTTGCACCATTGCAATGTTTTTCCAAAACAGGTACAAAGTCTTGTATGGATTTTGATTTTTAATTAAAGGATAGGTTCACAGGTTCACAGCAGTCCACCTTAAAACAATAGCCAGGTGCCTATTTGAACATTGAAACAGGTTTACTTGCAGTTAGAGGTCCTCCTGTCCATACCGGCCTTAAAGAGACCCCTTTCTAATGCTTTTCCAGTATAAGTGATGGGGGCCAAACTCCACCGTGTGCAAAAATATATTCCAAAGTTTATTTGAATTTAAGAGCCAAAGTGAAATCTGAACTTCCGGGTTCTGTTCCAGAGGAAAACCTCATTCAAAAACCCTTTAACATTTGTAATAACTGTCATAACCAAAAGATAGCGACGATAATATTTTGATATAATATCTAACGATTGATATTTCAGTTTTTTAGCTGCATTTAACGAACACCATTACCCCAAAGCTCCAGACCTACTGGACAGAGAGGACTGAATGCTCTAGAAATGTAGACAGCAGATATTCCAGCTAAGAAAAAAAAAAAAACATAAAAAGAGAGTTGATGAGTTATATTTGTATTGAACGTAAGTACCTGCGCTAATTTGTCTAATGGAAACTAAACCTCAGGAACACGTTTTATTTTGTCCGATAGACATGAAGGAAATGCTGATTGAGGGATTGTATTGAGTCAGAGAAGCTAGTACAGGAGCAACTCAGATGAATGTCTGGGCACATCGTTTATGTGGGATAATAAAAATCAATCAAACTATCCTTTTGAAAGAGAACTTATCCTTCACCTCTAAGTGGATTTTTAGAAATGAGGAAGCTGATAACAAACCTCTGTTTTCAGGTCACTGGTGTTTCTTGGCGGGCTGGCGGCACTGGGGACAGGATTTGGCAGCTATAACATGGCTATGGCAGCTATGAGTCCATGTCCTTTGCTTCAAGGGTCTGTGGCGGGAGAGATGATCATTGTAAGTGAGACACAAACATGTTGTGTAAGAGACGTGTGGCGTAGAAAGACAATGCACAGAAAACATGTCTCGGTGGCTTTACCTGTGTCAAAGTTCAACCCCTCTTTTACAAAAGACCCGAGTATTGAGCAACTCTGCTTACTCTCAAAACTGATGACGTAAAACACGTTTGGGCCGTTGTTATGAAACCCTGATTGGTTTTTCAGACACCAACGATGTTAAACATTTCCCAGATCATCATTCAGATGAGTCCACTATGTTCTTTTGCCCCCTCCAGGTGCTCTCATGGCTGTTCTTCAATGGGACACTGTCTTATGTCAAAGTAATGGTGGGTGTCATCCTGAGAGACCGGAGCCACAGCGCCCTGGTCTGGTGCGGAGCTGCACAACAGATGGGCTCGCTCGTCGGCTCGGTCACCATGTTCCCTCTGATTAACGTCTACAGGCTGTTTAAGTCAGGGGACTTCTGCAGCACCCAATGTCCCTAATGCTTGGCTGGTTTAAAGGTAAACAAATGTGCCTACAAGCACCTACAGACCACTGATCATCAGGTCATTAACCTGTTGAACTTGTATGATTCATGCACAATCAAAACGTGAAAATGTTGTGGTTGTGGACTTGCGTACTCTAACTATGTATTGATGATCAACACAGTTGTAATGTGTTTTATTTAAGTTCAGAGGTGTTGGTAAGTAGATCTTTCTTCAACTTGATAGAGCCAGGCTAGTCGTTTTCAGTCTTAATGCTGAGCTTACCAGCTGCTGGCTCTATAGCTGCATATTTAGTATATAAACACGAGAGTGGAATCAATCTTTTCTTCTAACTTCTCAAAATGTCAAACAACTCCAAAGAGGTTCTTCTGTAGGACTCAAGAGTCTGTTATTCTCAGTCGTTTGTCAAAGAAGTGATGTTTGATGATTTTTACACCATGTTTGCACTTAACTTTTTCAATGTTTGTGTTAGTCATTTAATATACTATGATGGGAAATGCTATTAACTTGTATTAGTATTAGATTTAAGAGGTGACACACTTGGAAGGAGCATCTTTTGTTGATTTTGATTCAGTGCCTTCAGGCCAGTAAGTGCATTGCACCGATCGTGAAACTGCTAGCTTATTTGCCCACTAGATGGCGCAAGCACACTTCTATGTATTAAAACCTGTCAATCCACATTCTGCAGGAAACAATGTGACCACAAATCCCTGCTCATGAAATCTATTTATACAGTGCACTTGAAAAAATAAAGTTCAAATTTATGTTACACATGTAAGCTAAAGATTTAATGCTGACATTAATACACCTCTAACACGGGATGTTTCTCTTTAAATTTAAACATGCATGCAAATAATAAAAACCGGTTGTTGATGCGTTTCATTACTGTGAATATGACAGAGAGACAGTTAGGACATGGACAGCTACATGTAGTATCATCCTACCAGCTCCAGCTCAGTGGGGTATAGACTGTGTGTGTGCCTATAACATTCAGAGAGTGGACTAACATTGTAAAGCTTTAATAGCTTGTTAAATTGTTTTTTTTTTATACTGTATTTATTGTATTGTTAGGTGTACCCAGTAGTGGAATGTAACAAAGTAGTTTTACTCAAGAATTACAATTTTGAGGTACTTGTACTTGACTATTTCTATTTTCTGCAACTTCACACTTCTACTCCTCCACATTTCAGAGTTGAATACAGTACTTTTTACTGTTCTACATTTATTTGACAGATATAGCTACCGGTTACTTTGCTAATTAAGATTTTACATTTAAAAAATCTAAACGTATCTAAACAAAGTATAAATAAAAAACTCAACCTCGATTCATAAATCAGTCTACATCTGTAACATTCATTATTTTATTATCTGAAGAATGAGTACTTTTACGTTTAATACTTTTAGTACAAACATGCAGGAGTTATTCTTGTAATAGAGTAGTTTTTACATTGTGGTATTTGATACTCTGACTTACGTTAAGGATCAGAGTACATCTTCCACCACTGTGTGTACCGAACATCTAGTCACCACCTCTGAAAACAACGTTATATAGTCCAGTAGTTTCATTTTTAATCAAACAGACCATTACAAGCTTCACAAAGACCATACTAATGTTATAGTCCACTTATTGTAATTTATTGCTCGAGTGATGCAATTGTGAGTCTTGAATTACTGCCGTTCAAATACAGACTGAAATGCTTTCCATAATAAACCAGCAACAGATTAATAAATCACCAACTGGCCGTGGAAATGGTGATAACAAACAAAAAGAAAGGAAAGAGAAAGAGCCAAGAGAAGCCAGACAGATCCTATAATGTGTCTGGTCCAAGCCCCCATCATCCCAATCAAAGATGCTTCTGCACATCCTCTCAGGAGGACGGAGGGACGCTGGTCATCCATGGGAACCAGAGAGTGCTCTCCCATCAGCAGCTGTTCCTCCTCCCTGCCCCCTTGCCCTTCAGAAGGAGAGCGAGAGGTTCCCCGGCCGAGAGGAGGAGGGCTCTAATTACTGATGCTCAGCGGGGGCCGATGGCTGTTGCTCCTGCCGCTGGTCACTTGGGAGCTTCCCTGACCCCGACACTGAGTAAAAACAAAAAGATAAGGAAGGGAAAATGGGGCCACAATTAGCCCAGTGTAGCCTCTAGGGCCCGGGATCAGTGGAGGAGAAGCACAGATGGGACTTTCTCACTTGGATTTGTTGAATCTACATTGCAGCATGTGTAAGCTGCACAGAATCACTGCGGTCGGTTGTTGATTTGAGGAATGCCTTTGAATGAAATCAAACAATACCTTTTTATTTTTTTGTCTTGACATTAAAAAAGGAATTTGTGTTTATGCTCATTGAACTGGGAGTGTGCACCTAAAGACTGCCTGTTAACGCTATTGTGAACATGACATTGAATGCTTATATGTAATCAAAAGGATTTCCTCTAAGCTTCATTAGCTGAATTCCTTGATTGGCTCAGGGCCTTTGTGTCGAGACAAAACAAAGCGGCAAAGAAAAGTGTATCATTTTCCTGCGTGTGTCAGATGGTCCCACCGCTCCTCCAGCTGGTCAGGAGGGGCTGTGGCCACCTGGATGCTCAGTCCCGGTCCTGTGAGATCCTGCAGTCTCCTCTGCCATGTGAAGACTCCACTTACTACGCCACAGAGAGGTCCATCTGCTCAGGACGGCACCTCCCAAAGAGCCCCCCCCGCACCCATCACCGCTGCTCCCCCACAGGCCCCCCCCCCTCCAGCCAGCCACGGTGCCAGCTAAATGAGCAGCGTGTCAAATGGAAGGAGGATTTACCCGTCCTTTAACGGGATAAGAGAATAAATTCACAGTGCCACGAGGCAATGAATGAGTGAACCCACCTGCACTCCCCTGCTGAATCGACAGATATATCACCTGTGTCTCACTTTGCGCGATATTCTCGTTCTGAGGCACGAATGCGAGGTTCACCAAGTTAACGTTTGACCACACAAAAAGAAAGGTAGTGTGTTTTGTTGTTGTTGTTGACAAAAAAAACACAAAACAACGCTCAGAAAGTGTGGAAATTTGCTCGGGTGAACCCGCGATTTTGGCAGCTGATGTTCAGGTGAACAGCTTGTGGGTAAACCAATTGCTGATGCATGCAGACAATTCACAGACATGCACAGCTCAGACAGCATCTCTCCCATCAATTTCCACACACACACACACACACACACACACACACACACACACACATACACCCCATCTAATAAATGCCGTCCATTTATTTGAAATTGGATGTGACAGCCCTATGTCATTTCACTATAGTGTCTCGGAGCAGACAGCGATGCACATGGGCCCAGTCCTTGTTTTCTATCAGCAGGTATTGATGTTGCTTTAATGAAGTGCCTAGCACTCCACCCTAGGAAGAGACAAGTCTGTCAGCATATGTAAATGCTTCCTGCCTGTCATTGTTGTGGAGGGTTCAGCATGGGTCAGCATAGATTCCCCCTCTGGGAACCCTTTGTTCTGGGGCCCGACTGTGCCACATGAGGGGACCAATTACAGAGCTGCAGAGCAGGACGGGGGGGTGCTAACTTGTTACCCTGCAGTGGTGAGCTAATTATTACCTCCACCCTGTGTGTAGCATCCACCACATGGATGGGCAACAAAAGCTAGCTCGTCTGTGTGCATAAAGCTTCTGTGGTTCACTTTTCCAGTATGTGATGAGACGTTTCACTTCAGTGAATTGGTTTATATTAAAGGCACCATTATCACAGTTTGGGAAAAGGTCATCCTAATTTTCAGGCCATAAATAGCTACTGAACTACTTAAATCCCAGCGGAGCTCCTTTGCATTGTCAATGCAAAGGCAATTTACAGTCTACAGACTGCCATAACCTTGATGTGGTGTCAAGAAATGATTTATGAAAATGCATCCTGCTCTGCCGGTCCCGAGCGAGACCTGGCTGGACCCGGAGTGTTGACACAAAGCCCATATGGCCGAGCAAACACGCACCCGCCGAATTATCATTCATATCATAACAGCCCGACAGGCTTTTGTTCCCAGCTTCTGATGAGATATTGGCAGTCTGTTTTTCATCAAGGAGTGCAACAGATCTGCCAGGCTTTTCGGGACGAGCAACAAAATGTTTCAGCCGACGTAGAAAATGATGCTTCATCCTGACGCCAGTGAGTGGACATGTACGTATATTTCATAAAATGCAACAGCGAGCAGGTCGACCTAAATGTGTAAACCCACCTGAGCGGTAAGTGCATTAGCAGGAGTGTTTTAGAGGGTAAATTAAAGGGTATATTTTAGGTCAAAATACCAAACACACCTCTCGATGCATATAGACGCCCTTCCTTTCTTGCTATTAGCCCCCTCCCCTTACATGCAGCCCATTCATCTCCTTCTCTCCACCCCCAGTGACCAGTTGCCCAGCTGCTAGGGGCTACCAGTCCCCCTCGTGTGTGGGGCCAGTCAAGTGGAAAATGGCTGCTACCGAGAGAGCCCACTTTAGAGAGCCATCATCCTTTGAAGGGGCATGATGGCCTTTGACAGCCACAGTGTTAACATGGAGCCCACACGAACACCGCGCCGCTATTATCGTGTTTACTAAAGCAAGAGGAGAGGAGAGGGGATCAAGGGGAGACCCTGTTGGTTGATGTTTGAGTCCAGGGGTAGCGGGGTGCACGTCTGAGCCGCGCCACAGTGGCATTGTGGGGAAACATGACATGGGATCACTCGCAGCCAGGTGGAGATTGTATTTCAACATGTCAGTCGAGCTTTTAGTGAACAGGTGGTCATATGATTGGTTTGTCTCAGCACGCTGCGATTACTTTTCAAACACCTGTTTTCAGTCCGATATCGCAGGTAACAAACTGCTGCACTTCTAATGAAAATCATGACTCTCAAAACACTTATTGCGATTATCAAAGGTCTCATTTTCTCAGAAACATTCACGCATTTGTTGTTGCTTTCACACAGCAGTCAAATATCTTTTGAGTGATCCAAAATATTTTGTGCAAATAGATGTGTTTTGTGTATGGTAAGGCAAATATCTGTGTTTGGATATTGGTGCATTTGTTTTTCATTTCTAAATGGTTTCTTATTTACATAAGAGTATTGTATTAAGACATACATTAGTGGTACATAAAATGTTCTTAATATGAATTAGAAACCTGTAAACAAACTTTAATATTGGGTTACTTTATGTCTCAATGAGAAATGCCACAAAAAGACAATTCTAGTGACTTCTATCTCACTGACACAGTTCCATATATACTTATTATATTATACTATATTATCACCTTTTAAGCTGCTGTTAAGTCACCTGTGTGTAACTTAGTATGCAGGCCTGAGTTGCAAAATCAAAAAATAAAGATCACAAAACCAGAAAAGAAAAGCAACGATCTTGTTCACAGAATAAATAGTGAAAGGACATTAAGACCAGAAAGAGTTCGGACAAACCCACCGGACATCTATTCAGACAGTGAGCTGATTGAGAGGTTTTGCTTTGGCAGGCGAGCCCTGTTTGAGTTAATTGAAGAGCTCTCCCCTCAACTACAGCATGTACTGGACAGAAACAGTGCTGTCCCCCACCCTGCATGCAGGTGCTGATTGCGTTCAGATTTTATGCAAATGGTGCCTTTCAAAATACTGGGAGATATGATGAATGTACATCGGACGACAGCCAGCAAGCCAGGTTATTAGAAGAGTGTCCTTGGCCCAAGTAGGACTTCTATTTTAAATCAAGGCTACACGTTATTGCCGCTGTTACATGCTCCCCCCCCCCCCCTTTGCTGGCTGTGATGTGTACATGCTTTAACTCATGTGTACCTGTGTTTCCTCTCAGGTGAACCTGGTTGGGGCCTGATTGAAGGAAGCCAATGAAGAGGGAATAGAAAGTCCAGCTCACTCTGTCTCCTTCCAGCTTCTGGCCTCAGCAGCAGTTTTGAGCTTAGGCTTGGTTCAGAGTTTCTTTTTGTTAGTTCCTTGAGTTTTTGATGAGCCAAGAGGTTCGTAACATTCGGATGCATTGACGGTATACTCGCATTTGTCTCCAAAGCCACGTCTGACACGGAACAAATGTACAGGTCCATTGTCGACCTTGTTCCAAGACAGCCTGGGTCGACCCATGATGCTCACATTCTCAGAGAGAGTGCATTATGTCAGGAATTTGAGGCAGGGATCTTCCCCTCGGAGATAGTGGATTACTACTGAAGCGGTGGCTAATGACACCTGTCATCGCCGCGAGAACTGCACAAGAGTACAACTACAACAAAACACATGCAACAACAAGGAACAGCGTTGAGCGCTGCATGGGAATGTTCAAACGTAGGCTAGTAACTAGTTTATGAACGACACTAACAAAAATAAAAAAGACCAGTATGGTATGTGCAATGTGTATCTCTCTCAGCTTGTTTGAAGGGAGAAGTTAGAGTGCGCTTTGGATAGAAGTGTGTTTCTTGAGACGAAATGGTGCTACAACCGAGGTCAGTCAGGCTTGGTGCACCGTGCACTCGGTGTAAATTCAAATCACAAAGTTAGACGTAGCTAAGACCTGTGTAAGAGTTAAGACCTACTTTTTTTTTACAAACAGCTGGTGCACTCGGCTCCTTTATGATTGTAAGTTCAATGTTTTGGTCTCTACCAACTCCCAACGTTCAGACGTTCACCACCTAGTCGCTTACTTCATGCACTGCATGTCCATCACTACAAGTGACTCCTTTCACCTTGTCATTTAAAACATTATTTTCAGAAAAATAGAGATTAGACGCTTTTAGTAACGATAAGGGGACATGACACTACGGTGGCTTTGGTGGACAAATGTCTCTTCTTTTGACACAAGTTAATTGTTTTGAGTGAGTGACGGCGTTTTTTACGGGACAAATGAAGAATATAAAATGCTGCTCTCAGTGAAATACTGTTCAGAAAAAGATTAATATGCTCATTAGCTGATGCAGTGTGCTCTAATCCACCTTTGATCTAATGCAATGTGCGCAGCCCAATTTATGGTTGCAGGTTGGATCAGCAGCAGATAAAAGCTGACACCGTTTCAGCCGGCCTTGCTGTCAACTGGCTCGACTCCAACACCGGCTGACTGCTGATCTACGGCTGTAACTCGACCAAGCCGCTCTCGCAGCTCCGGCACATGTTGCTGGAGGACACACGTGGAGCAACAGTGATTTTAACTGCAACAAATGGTCGGGGTGTGTCATTATCCAGATTTTTGGTCAAGGGATCATTACCTGCCACAGATGCCACTGTTGTTTTCTGTCTCCATTTGTCCCGAGGCGAGTATAGCCCCGATACTTGAAAAGAGCAGGAGGTGCCTTTGTGCAGACGCACACCTGATCTTAGCAATCAATTGGCAGCGCTACCCTCACACAAGTCTCTCAGGCTCTGCCTCAAGGCCGTCCATCTGTTGCTGCGAGGCTGTGGGTGAACGTGCTTGCGAACAAGTCGGCCTCTTTCTG